TAGAAAACAAAACTAAAACAAGGTGCCAACTGGGGAATAAAGCAATGACAATAAAACTAACAAATATGTTGAGAGGAAAGGAGAGAAAGAAAACAAAGAAAGAATAGATATGCAAAGTTAAATAGAGGTAGATAAAGATTTATGTATGTTAAACGTTAACTGCAAGGGGAAGAGAGCAGTAGGAAAAGCAAACAAAGGAATAAATTAGAAAAAAAATCAATTCGCTTAAAAAAATTAAAAAAAGAGAAAAGAAAAAAATAAAAGAGGATAACTCCATGGAACTGCAAAAGTTCAACATAGAGGCAGAGGTTTATTGCAACAATAAAAAAATGTGACTGAGGAAAAAAAGAAAACGCTCAAAAGTTTAATTGGATTTATTCAGTTCAGTTCAGTAGCTCAGTCGTGTCCACTCTTTGCAACCCCATGGACCACAGCACACGAGGCCTCCCTGTCTATCACGACCTCTCGAAGTTCACCCAAACTCATATCCATTGAGTCAGTGATGCCATCCAACCATCTCATCCTCGGTCGTCCCCTTCTCCACCTGCCCTCAATCTTTCCCAGCATCAGGGTCTTTTCCAGTGAGTCAGCTCTTTGCATCAGGTGGCCAAAGTATTGGAGTTTCAGCTTTAGCATCAGTCCTTCCAATGAACACCCAGGACTGATCTCCTTCAGGATGGACTGGTTGGATCTCCTTGCAGTCCAAGGGACTCTCAAGAGTCTTCTTCAACACCACACTTCAAAAGCATCAATTTTTCGGTGCTCAGCTTTCTTTATAGTCCAACTCTCATATCCATACATGATCACTGGAAAAACCATAGCCTTGACTAGATGGGCCTTTATTGACAAAGTAATCTGTCTGGTTTTTAATATGCTGTCTAGGTTGGTCATAGCTTTCCTTCCAAGGAGTAAGGGTCTTTTAGCTTTATGGCTGCAATCACCATCTGCAGTGATTTTGGATCCCAAAAAAATAAAGTCAGCCACTGTTTCCCCATCTATTTGCCATGAAGTGATGGGACTGGATGCCATGATCTTAGTTTTCTGAATGTTGATCCTTAAACCAGCTTTTTCACTCTCCTCTTTCACTTTCAAGAGGATTTTTAGTTCCTCTTCACTTTCTGCCATAAGGGTGGTATTTATCTGCATATCTGAGGTTCTTGATATTTCTCCCAGCAATCTTAATTCCAGCTTGTGCTTCCTCCAGCCCAGCGTTTCTCATGATGTACTCTGCATAGAAGTTAAATAATCAGGGTGACAATGTATAGCCTTGATGTACTCCTTTTCCTATTTGGAACCAGTCTGTTGTTCCATGTCCAGTTCTAACTGTTACTTCCTGACCTGCATACAGGTTTCTCAAGAGGCAGGTCAGGTGGTCTGGTATTCCCATCTCTTTCAATAAAATCAACAACTACAACAGAGGGGGGAAAAGGGGGAAACAAAACTGAAAGAATCTATAGAACAAATAAAAAAAAAGGAAAAATAAATGGTTTTCTTGAGTTACTGCTCTCAGCGTCTCTTCCTGTGTTGGGAATAACAGTCCACCTCACTTGCCCAGGATGCCCTCCAACACTGTGCTGGTCTCTGGACCTCCTGTGGCGGCTGCTCAGTTTCTATTCTGTTCCTATTCCTGTGTTCTTGCCTCCAGTGTCCACAGGTAGCAGAACTAGTGCATTTTCTTTTGTGGAGGCTCTCAATATCCTTTTATCTATTCCATAGACACAAAGTCTGCCTAGTTGATCATGTGGATTTAACCTGCAGCTTGTAGAGATGGTCTGAAGATTTTGCATCTTCTTCCTTAATCAAACTGCTTCCGGGTTTCAATTGTGATTTTATTTCCACTTTGCATGTGGGTCGTCCACTGGGGATTAGCTCCTGAAGCTACCCTGGAGGCCTTGGGTTTGCCCCTGTGAGGGCTGCGTATGGAGGTAGTGTAGCTGCTTGGATCGCAGGGGTTCTGGCAGCACCAGGTCGTCAGGGGGTTTGGCGGCTAGGGTAGCAGGAAATATAGTGCTCTAAGAACCGTATGATAACCAGTATTGGCCAATATGCTCTAGTATTTTGGCCTGGAGAACCCCTTCTCTGACAGAGAAGCCTGGCAAGCCACAGTCTATAGGTCACAAAGAGTCAGACAGGACTAAAGTGACCCTGCATGCATAAACACAGGACTTGTTTTTTGGCCTGTAACAGCTCTTCCCCATTGAGAGTTGAGCATGAAGGTGGTGCCGCTGCTTGGCTTGTGGGGACCCTGGTGGCGCCAAGTGTGCAGGGACACAGATTGCTCTGTGGCAGGAGTTATGGCCCTATCAGAGTCTTTTTTCAAGCCTCTTGTAGCTGGGGGTCAGAAGACCTCTTTGGCCATTCTTTCTCTGTAGCTCCGCCCGTTCAGGCACTTACAGATTTCCCCTGCCTGGGGTCCTTCTCTGCTGTTCTGAGTGTCAGACACAGAGAGGGGTCCCCTGACTGGGGTCGCTGAAAGGAGCACTGTGGGTGGGGTCCTACTTGGTAGTTCAGTGCGCCAGGCGTTTGATGGGCCAGCATCTCTAATGTTCAGCTGCTGATACTTTCCTGTGGAGACAGAGAGGCTATGGTGATGGCTCCACCCCACTACCCGTGACTCACCTGTATTGCCTTCCATGGCTGCCTGGCTTTCCTCCATAGGCATTTCCAAGCACGATCTCCTCCGTCACATCCCCTCGATCCATGTCTCCACTGTCAGTGGCAGCCCTCACCCTGGGATTACTCCACAATCCCTAAACCCCAGTTCCCAGCCACTGCCCCTTCCACGAGACCCGTGTTCCTGCTCCATGTATGAATGACTCTGGCAAGGACTGTCTGATTCGCATTCCATTTAGGCTGCCACAGATCAACTGTTTCACTCTCAGCTTTAAATGTTTCTCCTCTGACTCAGACAGTTGCCCCGCTGTGGGGATCGGACCCCTGCTTCAGTTCCCTCCCTGCCAAGGGCAGGTCCAGTCCTAGAAACACTCCTGTTTTTCCCCCTAGTTCCTTTGTTTTACCAAGTTTTGTGTGGGTCTATATATTCTTTTTCAGTGATCAGGCACTCCTGCCCACTCTCAGCTGGTGTTCTGCATGCACTTCTGTGTCTGAAGGTGTATTCATGATGTATCCGTGGAGAGAGATGCACTCCATGTCCGCCTACTCCATGCCATCTTCTTCTCCTGGGAGCATTCTTATAAGGGAAAATTAGCAGTTCTTAAAACACTAGGCAGGTATTTTCATGTTGATGAATATGAGTGACATCAATTACAGATTTAATTCTTTATAGGACTATTTCATGACATCCCCTTTTTAATTGCATTTAAGTTTGTTTATGGTATATGGTATCATACTGTTTCTCTCCCAGTTCCGTTCAGTTCAGTCACTCCGCTCTGTCTGACTCATTGCGACCCCATGGACTGCAGGATGCCAGGTCTCCCTGTCCGTCATCAACTCCTGGAGCTTACTCAAACTCATGTCCATTGAGTCAGTGTTGCCATCCAACCATCTCATCCTCTGTCATCCCCTTCTCCTCCCTCCTTCAATCATTCCCCGCATCAGAGTCTTTTCCAGTGAGTCAGTTCTTTGCATCAGGTGGCCAAAGTATTGGCATTTCAGCTTCAGCATCAGTCCTTCCAATGAATATTCGTGATTGATTTCCATTTGGATAGACTGGTTGGGTCTCTCTTGCAGTCCAAGGGACTCTCAAATGTCTCCTCCAAAACCAGAGTTCAAAAGCATCAATTCTTGGTGCTCAGCTTTCTTCATAGTCCAATTCTCACATCTATACATGACTACTGGAAAAACCAAAGCTTTGACTAGATGGACTTTTGTTGGCAAAGTAATGTCTCTGCTTTTTAATATGCTGCCTAGGTTGGTCATAATTTTTCTTCCACGGAGCAAGCATTTTTTAATTTCATGGCTGTAGTCACCATCTGCAGTGATTTTTGAGCCCAAAGAAATAAAGTCTCTCACTCTTTCCACTATTTCCCCATCTATTTGCCATGAAGTGATGGGACTGGATGCCATAATCTTTGTTTTCTGAATGTTGAGTTTTAAGTCAACTTTTTCACTCTCCTCTTTCACTTTCACCAAGAGGATCTTTAGTTCTTCACTTTCTGCCATAAGGGTGGTGTCATCTGCATATCTGAGGTTATTGATATTTCTCCCTGCAATCGTGATTCCAGCTTGTGCTTCATCCAGCCCAGGGTTTCTCATGATGTACTCTGTATATAAGTTAAATAAGCAGGGTGACAATATACAGCCTTGATGTACTTTTTTCCCATTGGAACCAGTCTGTTGTTCTATATCCAATTCTAACTCTTGCTTCTTGACCTGTGTACAGATTTCTCAAGAGACAGGTCAGGTGGTCTGGTATTCCCATCTCTTTAAGAATTTTCCACAGTTTGTTGTGATACACTGCCAAAGGCTTTGGCATCATCAGTAAAGCTGAAATAGGTGTTTTTCTTGCTTTTTCAATGATCCAACTGATCCGATTGATGTAGACAATTTGATCTCTTTTTCCTCTGCCTTTCTGTGCTACATGTCTCTATTCATCTCTACTACTCTATTATAGATAATGAATGATTTCTATTTTCAATTATGTTTTCTTAGGAACAATTTTGAATAAAAATGAAACATTTAACCTCAAAATATACTTGTTCTCTTCAATCCTCCTAGGGAATTTATGCTTGCTTAAATATTTTTAAATATTTCAAGGGTATATTCTTTCTCAAATTTTCTTTGAAGATGTTAAACTTTAATTAAATGCATCCTTTTTCACATTAGACAGTCATATATTCAATCACTGCTTTTTAATTTTGGTTAAGAAGAGATCATTGTACAGATACTAGTGGCATTGATGTAGCTTTAGCATGGTGCAGTTTCAGTCTTTATCATGATTCTTCAAAATCTTATTTAATAAGAGGAGTAATAAGAACAACCAGTATATTTATAATGACTTCACATTTCATTTGATGTTTTTCTTGTGAATTTTTTTTCAGAAATTGAAAAATTTCAAGGTTCTGATGGAAAAAATGAAGATGAAGAAGAGAAGTATCTTGATGTCATCAGCAACAAAAATATAAAGCTCTCAGAAAGGGTATTGATTCCTGTCAAACAGTATCCAAAGGTACTACAATATATGCTTTTTAACCTCATTGAATTTAAAAAAAATATAATGAAAATAAGATGATGTTTTATTCATTGCTTTTATGAAATAATGTGCAAATCTTCATTTTATTAGTATATACAAATATATGATACTGACATAGAAGAAAGAAAACTCTTTTAAAGTACAATAATTTTCTGCTGATGGCTGCAACATTTTATTCCATGAATATAGGAAACATAACTAGATATTTTCATCATTTAACATGTAAGTAGTTCAGCAATTTGTCCAAATATGCTCAATCAATAATGTTTCAGTTCATGTTAAAATGCATATTTTATTATAAGAGTGTAGAATTAATACTGCAAAATATACAGCATGAGGCAAATAGCTGAGAATCCTTTTATCTAGAAACGCAATATAATCTTTATTAGACACTTGGGTTGTAACCTCTAGTCTTCTATATTCAGGGTCCGTTTATATAATGATGATGATATTATTCTCTTGAAAATAGCTTTTCATTAGATATTTTGTCATCACATGATGTTTTTATCGCCAGAAGAATGATTATAAAATATAGCATTCAATGGCTTGCTTTCATTATTTATGTTCCTAAATTCCAGTGGTTGAAAAGTTTCTTTTTTTGTGTTTCAAGTAAGTTGCCTGAGCAGAAAAATGGAAACTCGAAGACTTAAGCTGGTAGTTAACTTTCTGAAGAGTGTGAAGCAAAGACCATGTAATTATCCTAAGAATAAAGATTACAGAAATAAATGCCATACTTTTCCAAATGGCTTCTGATATGATAAATTTTGGTAAATATAAGTAGAAGGTGTGTTTATAATTATTTCAAATAGGATAAACTGTTTAACAGCACATCAAACCATTTATTTTAACTTTCAGGTGAGGTTTTCGGATATGTAAGCTTTTGGATTTTTTTTTTTTCCACTTGTGAAAACTTTTAATATTACCAGAATTCACAAGAAACAAACAAAATATCTGAGTAATTAGTGACCACATATGTTTTATCTTCTCCCAAGCTGAGACTAAAACAAAAGGCTGTGAAGTATTTTCTTTGCCATTATCTTCCTGTGTCTATGATGTTCAGTCCTTTCCAGTGTTTTCCTCATTATCCGTTTCATTATCACTGTTCACTACAGCCACCAGCGTCTCAATCCTCTCATTCATCTTCCCCGGAAAGTTGTCTCTTTCTCTCCCCTCTTCTGTCATTTGGACTCTAAATGCCTTGAAGGCTCTTTCTTGATCCTCAGACTTTTGTTGCAGTTCTTTAAGCTTTTACCCTAAAAGCTTCTTTTCCCTCTCAGGAGCCTCTGTTTTGGCCTGCTCTTCTGCTAAGGCCTTTTCACTTTCTCTCATCTCCTCTGTCATTTCAGCTCTTAATCTCTGGAAGACTCTTTCTTGGTCCTCGAAATTTTGCTGCAATTTTCAACCTGTTTTTCAAAAGACTCCTTTTCCCTCTCAGTGGCTTCTCTTTTGATCTGCTCTTCTGCTGAGGCTTTCTTTCTTTCATTCAACTCCTCTGTCATTTTGACTCGTAATACTTCAAAGACTCTTTCCTGGTTTTCCGATTTGTGCTGCAATTCTTTAACCTTTTGTGCAAGAGGCTTGTTTTCCCTTTCAGCTGCCTCTCTTTTGGCCTGCTCTTCTTTCTTCATGTTGTGTTCCTCTAGTTTTTCTGGTAACCTCAGTAAGCGTTTCAGCATCTGAATCTTCTCATTCATCTTTCTCAGAAGGTCGTCTTTTTCTCTCATCTCCTTTGTGAGTTTGACTCCAAATCTCTGGAAGGTTCTTTCTTGGTCCTGCAACTTTTGCTCCATTTCTTTAACCTTTAGCTCAAGAAGCTTTTTGTCACACATAGCAATTTTCCATTGGACCATCATTTCTGCCCCCAGAAGATCTGCTGAGGTCTTTTCTCTTTCTCTTGGCTTCTCTGTCTTTTTGACTCTAAATTCCTCAGAGACCCTTTCTTGGTCCTCCAGCTGTTCCTGCAGCTCTTTAACCTTTTGCTCAAGAAACTCCTTTTCCCTCTCAGCTGCCTGTCTCTTGGCACGCTCTTCTGCTGAAATCTTTTGTCTTTTTCTTGTTTTCTCTATCATTTTGCCTACAAATTCTTTGAAGTCTTTTTTTTGGTCCTCCACGTTTTGACTTATCACCTTATACTTTTGCTCAAGAAGGTCCTTTTCCCTCGCCGATGGCTCTCCTTCAGGGCATTCTGCTGAGATCTCGGCTGCATCACAAAGGAGCTCATCTGTCTTCTTGCAGCATTCCCCTAGCTCGCCCCTTATCATCCCCAAGATCTCCAGCATCTCAAACCTCTCGTTCATCCTTCTCAGAAGGTTTTCTCTTTCTCTCATCTTCTTTGTCATTTTCAGTCTAACTCCCTTCAAGAAGACACTTTTGTCGCCCGCCATCTTTGACTGTAATTCTATAACCTTTTGTTCAAGAGGTTCCTTTTCCCTCTCAGTTGCCTCTCCTCTGGCCCATTCTGCTGAGGTCTTCTCTCTTTCTCTTATCTCCTTTCTCATTCTGGCTCTTAATCTCTCCAAAACTCTTTTTTGGTTCTCCAACTTTCACTGCAGCTCTTTAACCTTTCGCTCAGAAGGGTCCTTTTCCCTCTCACTTGCCTCTCTTTTGATCTGCTCCTCTTTCTTCATGTAGCATTCCTCTTGTTCTTCCTTTATCTTTCTTAAGATCTCCAGCATCTCAGTTCTCTTGTTCATCCTTCTCAGAAGGTTGTCTCTTTCTCTCATCTTGCCTGTGATTTTGACTCTGAATATCTTGAAGGCTCTTTCTTGGCTCTCTAACATTTGTAGCAGCTCTTTAACCTTTTGCTCAAGAGAATCCTTTTCCCTCTTAGCTGCTTCTCTTTTGTATTGCTTTGCTGCTGAGGTCTTTTCTGTATCATGAAGGATCCTATCTTTATTCATTCAGCTTTCTCCTAATTCTTCTTTTATCTTCTTTTAGCTCTTCTATTTAACTCCAGAAAAGATGAACAACCCAGCATCCTGTTTTAGAAATAATGTTAATTTGGCACCGGCTGTATCCAGGGGACTTCCCAGGTGGTGCAGTGGTAAAGAACCTGCCTGCCAATGCAGGAGACACAAAAGACGTGGGTTTAATCTCTAGGTCTGGAAGATCTCCTGGAGTAGAAAATGGCAACCCACTCCAGTATTTCTGCCTGGAGAATTCCATGGACAGAGAAGCCTGGTAGGCTACAATCCATAGTGTCACAAAGAGTCTGACACAACTCAAGCTTTTGGATTTTGTGCTTATTTTGAGCTAGACCTACACTATTGCAAGATAGGTGCATACAATGAATATGCATTTGTAATTTAAGTTTTATTAAATTTACAGTTGTTTTAATGAATATCAAGTTGGACTGTCATAGAAATGTACATGAAAAACTTTACATAGTAATGAAATAAGGTAGAAATATGATAGGGTCTTAAGAAAAATATAAGTCTTTAAAGGAACTTGTTTAATTAAAACTGTTAATGTCTAGATGGAGTACAGCTTCAGTCTTGAAACCATATATTTAACATATATATTATATGATACTGTTTCTTGGGATAATCTTTATCTCTTCTTTGGATATGGAAAAGCTTGTGATAGACTCATATCTGCTTCTCAGTAAAATGCAGCTCTGAATCTCTGACCAAGATGTGCTAGCATTTCGGGTCCTATATAATGCTAAATGATGGTGTGAGTGATGGAGAACTTTGAAAATTTGCTATTATTTTAAATCCTTTATTTTTTGTGAGTCTTTGCATTTTTAACTTGAATAATAGTGCTCACATTTTGCATTACTTTTTCATGTATACTGTGGAAGATTATGAAAAATAATAGCTCCTAATGATTCATAGTTGTAATTAATGTAATAATTAATGTAATTATGTAATAATGTAATTAGTGTAATATAATGGAATATTATCAAATAACAATGTATGCCTTAGAAAATGTATAGTTTCTATGAATATAATGCCAAATTAAATTGTTTATGAATATGAACTTCATATATTAGAACCTTTTACATAAAAAAGAATACTGACAGACACAATCATCTATCAAATTGACCTACATTTGTTTTCTGTAACAATAAAATTAAATCAACCTTTTGAGAAAGGTATTTTATTTCTAAAATGGTGATTCTGTGTTGTGGGGTAAGGTTGTAATCTCTCAGCCTGAGCTGTATTTGCTGTGTACTGTAAGTGGCGGCACATGTAGTGTGGTGTGATCCTGTGAACTGCTGAGCGGCACACAACAGTATTTATGGGTTCAAGGTTTACTTTTTTTAAAAAAAAGTGAATTACTCTTAGTATATCATCCGGGCTAGGGTTGCCTTCCAGCTTCCTCCAGGGCTGTCTCTGCCCTTGACAGTCCATGTGGCAGTGACACCATCCTCCCAAACAAAGAGCAAAGAAGAATTAGGGGAGTGCTTGAGGAAATGGCCTTATCCTGATTTTACTACTTGGCCTTTTTTGATAGATTTTGTTTCAGTTAGACTCTAATTCAAGTTAATTTGCTGATTTAATTCAGTAAGTCAAATAATTGAGAGAAGTTTTAATTTTTTGGGCTCCAAAATCACTGCAGATGGTGATTGCAGTCATGAAGTTAAAAGACACTTACTCCTTGGAAGGAAAGTTATGACCAACCTAGATAGCATGTTGAAAAGCAGAGACATTACTTTGCCAACAAAGGTCCATCTGGTCCAGGCTGTGATTTTTCCAGTGGTCATGTATGGATGTGAGAGTTGGACTGTGAAGAAAGCTGAGCGCAAAAAATTGATGCTTTTGAAATGTGGTGTTGGATAAGACTCTTGAGAGTCCCTTGGACTGCAAGGAGATCCAACCAGTCTATCCTCAAGGAGATCAGTCCTGGGTGTTCATTGGAAGGACTGATGCTGAAGCTGAAACTCCAATACTTTGGCCACCTCATGCGAAGAGTTGACTCATTGTAAAAGACCCTGATGCTGGGAGGGATTGGGGTCAGGAGAAGGGGATGAC